TTTCACCCCAGGCTATTTATAGAGATGAAGGAGATGTGTACCTTTCCAGTAGAGAGTCCTGGTAATAACCATCTTAACCAAGTGTGAGCTTAGCATCAGTAGAAATGGGATAGCCCAACATTTTATGTCTTCTGATTTGAGGAAATATGCAATTCGCAATATGGAATATGAAGTGTTTTTTTTTTTTTTTTCCAAAACAGCTTGGTTTGAACCTAGATTTTTGTTCACAGGAAACACAAGTGATAGAAGAATAGGTTTGATGGCACTGTGGGGAAATAGTCAAATGAAGAATGTGGGGCAGTATATAAAACAGTTTCAGCTCTTCAGAAAGTCCATGTCACTAAAAACGAAACAAAACAAAACAGAACGATAGCTTTGGGACTTTTAGATAAAGGGATATTGAAAGATAAAACCACCAAATGCAAGGGCTGAAACTTGATTGGATCCTAGATTGGGCAAAAATAATATAAAAAGGCATGAGATGAACAATTGTGGAGATGTGAATTTGGAATGTATGCTAGATAATACAAAATTATTGTTAATTTTCTTAGATGTAATATAGATATTATTGATATGTAGGAAAGTATCTCTGCATTCCTAGAGATGCATATTGAGTTATTTATATGCATTCATAACTTACTGTCAAATGCCTCAGCAAAATATACTTTCTTTCTTTTTTTTTTAATTTTAAAATGTACAAATACAAAAGCCTATATGGTACTCTGTTACAATGATTATGTAGGTGGGTATGTTCATTATATTTCAGTTTTTCTTTTGGTTCAGAATTTTCTTAAATAAACTTGAAAAAGGAAAAGTAGGATGAAAGCTGGAGTGGTGAGCCCAACTTCTAAAATACCATGAGGGGCATGTCTCTGTCCTGCTTGTGCCCATGGCCCTGTGAGCATCCAATGACCTGTGAGCCTTGCACTGTCAGCCAACTTTTGAGGAGTATGACAATTTGCTGATAAATTTAATAGAAGAGCTTGAGGCAGATCCTTAATCGTTTGTAGATTTTCCAGTGTAATGTTGCAGGAATTAAAAAATGATTGACTGAAAGCATACATTAGAAAAGGGTAACCAGGTTTGAAGACTGCCTGGAAAAGCAAGAACATACTAGTGACTTTTTCCAAATCCAGTAAATATTTGTTGAATTTAGCAGAATTGAACTACTTAGGGGACAAGTAAGATTAACATTTGTTCCAGAAGTAAGAGGAAAGACTGTTTTTCAGTCTTATGTGCATGCAACAATGACTAAATTTTATACTGTTTTTACTTTCAGTAATACTCTTAGCTTTACTGAATTAATGATCAAAGCACTTTAGTAGAAGCCAACTGCAGTTTTTCCCATACATGGGGAAATTTGAGTTTGGTGAGAAATCTTCAGAGGCTGGCATTTGCAGTTATGCTTTGTTCCTTGGTGAGCTATGAGTCCGGCACTTAATTATGTAAAAAATATTGCAAGAGAGCAGTTGCATAATCCCCCAGAGTGTAATTATTATCTGTCTTGGCAGAATGCAAGCCTTTTAATCTGTAAATAAGCAATTCTATGTGGAAGAGCAACATGCAGAGTGATTCTGTGTTGTAAAGGTCTCTTATGAATTTTTAAAGTGAAAGCAGTAACTGCATGTGCTGATTGGCTGCAGCCTGTGTGTTTCAAAGGGTTTATGATGCTTCCCTTGTGGTTTTAACCCCTCCTGAAATATTTAAACCTCTGAGGATGATTCCTGTAAAGGGTAAAACTGTGTCTAAGTTAAGCTTATGACAAATCTGAATGTTTCAAATGTAGAGGAAGTAACATGTGCTTTCTGCATAATTAAAAAGCAAACTAAGATTAAAAAGAAAAACAAAATGAAACATGCTTAAAAAAAGATGCAATAAATAGCTAAGATGTTGATCACTTATTGGAGGTTAAGTTTTTACTTTTGAAATTATTTTGGCATAATTGATACATAGCAAGAATATTTAAAATTTTGACATGTATGATTATGATTTTTTAAAAATGTGTGCCATTGCAAGTAATACTTCTACAAAAGAACTAATTCATTCTCAGGACATGTGTATATTTTACTTAGATGAATCTGAGTCTTTTTGATATGAAAAGTGAATTCTCACTTTTGGTTTTTGAGTGTTCAGCAGTGTCTGCCTGTCCTTCTGCACTCCTGTAGGTGTGACTGAGCTGACCATGCCCCTCTCTGGGGTCAGCCTCTGCACTTCAGCATCTGATCCCTTCTCTTTTGCCTACCCAAGGACTTCATTTAGATACTGTGCCTTGCTCTTTCCTAATTAACTTTTCCTTCTCCAGCAGGGTACTCCCATTGAAATAGAAACACCTGGTCATAGTTGCCATTGTTTTTAAAAACCTTCCTTGAATTCTCCAGCTCCATCTGTTTCCCTTTGTAGCCAGACTTCATCATCTCTCTCCTGTATCCACTCTCTCCTGTTGTTTCTGGAGCTGCTCCAGCCTTTCACTCTAGTCCCCACACAGGACCTGCTTCTGTCAAGGAATGCATGTCCTTCATACTCCAAATTCCATGAAAACAGCACAGAAGCACTTGACCTAAATCTTACTTAATTCCCAAGTATCTTATTTTTTTTGAAGTTATTGTAAATGGGATAGTTTTCCTTATTTCCTTCTCAGAGGATTTGTCACTGATATACAGAAATGTCTTTGATTTATGGGTGTTGATTTTATATCCTGCTACTTTGCTGAATTCATTTACTAGTTCTAGAAGTTTTCTGATGGAGCTTTTTGGGTCTACTAGGTATAGAATCATATCATCAGCAAATAGTATTAATTTAAGTTCTTCTTTTCCTATACATATCCCTTTAATTTCTTTCATCTGTCTAATTGCTCTGGCTAGTGTTTTAAGAACTATGTTGAATAGAAGTGGTGAAAGAGGGCATCTCTGTCTTGTTCCAGTTTTAGAGGGAATGCCTTTAATTTTTCTCCATTTACAATGATGTTGGCCTGAGATTTAGCATAGCCTTTATGATGTTGAGATATGTTCCTGTTATCCCTAGTTTTCCTAGTGTTTTGAACATGAAAGGGTGCTGTATTTTGTCAAATGCTTTTTCTGCATCTGTTGAGATGATCATATGATTCTTATCTTTGAGTCTATTGATGTGATGAATTACATTTATTGATTTCTGTATGTTGAACCAACCTTGCATCCTGGGATGAATCTCACCTAATCATGGTGCACAATCTTTTTGATGTTTTTGTATTCAATTTCCCAGAATTTTATTGAAATTTTTTGCATCTATATTTATTTAGAGAGATTGAAATCTGGGAATGGAACTACCATTTGACCTAGCTATCCCTCTTCTCAGTTTATATCCAAAAAACTTAAAAACAGCATACTATAGGGACACAGCCACATCAATGTTTATGGCAGCACAATTCACAATAGCTAAACTGTGGAGCCAATCTAGATGCCTTTAATGGATGAATGGATAAAAAAATGTGGCATATATACCCAATGGAATTTTACTCAGCAATAAAAGAGAATAAAATTATGGCAATTACAGGTAAATGGATGGCACTGGAGAAGGTAATGCTAAGTGAAGTTAGCCAATTCCCCCAAAACAAATGCTGAATGCTTTCTTTGATATAAGGAGGCTGACTCATAGTGGGGTAGGGAGGGGAAGCATGGGAAGAATAGATGAATTCTAGATAGGGAAGAGGGGAGGGAGGGAAAGAGAGGGGGCAGGGGGTTAGTAAGGATGATGGAATGTGATAGACATCATTATCCAAAGTACATGTATGAAGACACAAATTGATATCAACATACTTTCTATACAATCAGAGATATGAAAAATTGTGCTGTATATGTGTAATAAGAATTGTAATGTATTTGGCTGTCATTTACTTTTTTTAAAAAAATCAATTAAAAAAATAAATCTTACTTGACTGTCTGCAGCATCTCACATAGCTTGTTACTCTCTTTGCTTAGAAACATTTTTAGCTTTGATTCAGGGAAGCCCATCTTTGATTTTCTTTCCTTCCGCCTTGATTATTCTTTGTCAGACTCCTCTGTAGCCACCTCCTCTTCTCCTGTTCTCCTAAGGTTTCTTGCCCTCAGATCTCTTCTCCTCTCCCAAAGTTAGTCTCAGCCAGCATCATGATTCAGTGTTCTCTATACTCTAAAGACTCCCAGATTTATGTCTAAAGTCCATACCATTTCCTGCCCCACATTCCATTGGATGACTTATGGTCATCTCGGATTCAACACAGTGGCAAGGCAACACCTGGTCTACCCACAGTTGTGTCTCACCTGGGTTATTGCAGTAGCCTCCTGTCTGGTTTTCCTGCCCTATTCTCACTCTAGCCCTCTCCAATCTATATCCAATGCAGCAGCCCAAGAAGACCCTTGTGGAACATATTTTGTTCCTGATCTGTTCCATGTCCTCCAATGGCTTCCCTTATCAGTTAGAATAAAAGCTGTCTGATAAGGCCCTTTACCATCTGACCCCATGACCTTTCTAGCTCACCTCCTACCTTTCTCCCCATTACTCACTCTACTTTGGCCCTTTTCTCAAATATACTCAGACACTCCTGCCTCAGGGCCTCAGTATGTGATGCTTCTTAACTTAGGTTACTCTGACTACTTTTCTGCATGGCTTGCTCCTTAAGTACCTCAGATCTCTGCCCCATCCTCCTCTCAAGAAGACCTGGCTAAGTTCTCCCCACCTACCTCTACCAGCTCTCTGGATCTCTCCTCCCAGTTTTAACTACCATATGAAAATACAAATGTTTTCCTCCTGTGTTGCTGTATTTGTTCTTGTCTGTTTTCTCCTGTTGGAATGTAAGCTTCACCTGCCTGTCCACAGCCATATTACTGGACTGAGAATGGATGCTCAGTCAGTGCTTCTGGTTGAGCAAACAGCACCCTCAGGAGTGGATTGGTTCTGTCACTTTTGTAGCAACTTGGGTGTGGCAGAAGATTGGTAGCATTTGGAATAATTCACTCTATACTGATAGCTATTTTTTCATTTCTCAGTTTCTCTGTTTGAAGAACATACGGACATTTCTCACAGCCTGTTGCGAGACGTTTGGAATGAGAAAAAGCGAACTCTTCGAAGCATTTGACCTGTTTGATGTTCGTGACTTTGGGAAGGTAATTGCCTTAAAATTTTTAAAAATATTTTTATTAGAGCTTTATAGGTATACATGTAGCTGGTACATTTATAATATTTTTATTGGAGCATGTTTGATCATCATTGGAGAATGTTGTTAACTCTTAAGAATTAAGTGGTCTATGTATCAGCATTGTATTAAACTTACCATGTAGGTGGTTCTGCCAACAGAACCACACATACGAAATAATGAAAATGAATAAATAACAATGACTTTACAAATGAGTTTAGAATTAATTTCTAATTTAAAGCAGCATAAGGAGAGTCTTTTATTCAGAGGCAGTTTTTCCTGCTGATTACCTGTGAGAGTAGGGTTACTGTTAACACCTCCTTTAGATAGTTCATTGGTTCTTATGTCTGAAGACCAATATTCTTTCCCTCCAGTCTTCTCTATATCTGGATGGCATCTAGTTTGTGAGGAGAATATTCTGTTGCCCTTTTCTCTGTTTTGACACTTGGGAGATGAGTTAGAGAAGATATATCTCACTGAAATATTTGAGATTGTTGTGTTTTCCTTTCTTTATAATTTATTTTTGTGGTGCTGGGGATCAAACCCATGCCCTCATATATGCTAGGCAAGTGCTTACCACTGAGCCACGACACCAGCCAGTTTGTTGAGTAATTCCTCTTGCTTGGATTTGAGAATGTATCTGTTGGATTTGTTGAATTTCAGTGATATTTCTCCACACAGAAATTGTTTTAATGTTTACTATTACTACTTATGTTTACACTAGGCATGTGTATATTCAGTGAAAGAAACCATCCTTTCAAAAGTTATGGTCTATTATTATGACTTGATTAAGCACTTAGTTACATGCCTGGCAAGTAAGTAACCATTAAAAAATCAGTGACTGAGGTGAAATTACTTTAATCTCTGCTCACATTATTGCAATGAAAATCATAGAAGGAGAAAAGGACCAAGCAATATTGAGAAGTTTGCTTCTATTCTTCAGCTCAGGTGCCTATCAAAAGGCGTGCTGAGAGTCACACTTTATGTGGCTTTTATTTTGCTAATAAAATAAAAACCAAGCAACAGATTGTTCTTCTTGGCAATGGGAGTGAATAGTCTAAACTTGAGACAGAAACATAAGAAATTAGATACTGAAATACAGCAAAGATGGAGAAGCTATTCTGTGTGGCTTGAGTTCTCTTTCTGGTTTTAATCCAAAGTCATTTCATGATCTTTGAAAAGTCACAGTCTTCCTAGTCCTCAGACATCCTGCCAGCTTGGAAGGAAAATGGGTGTAGGAACGTGATTTCTAAGATTTCTTTTATCTCTGGCAAGCTGTGATTTAACTGTCTTGAGGTCCCAAATAAAAATGATGGAAGATAAAATATGGTTAGTGAAAGGAACTGAAAGCCAGGCCCTTAGTAAGGAAATGGAAGGACATTTGTTTATGTCCTTGAAGTTCAGCCATGAAGACAAGAGAAATAAAATAGAAGCCTAGGTGAGGAAGACAGTTCTCTAAGCTGTCGGTCCTGAAAAACACCAAGAGACCCTTGTTTTCATTCTTCTTTGATCCTTTTCCTAGCCTGGTTTTTTTTGTTTGTTTGTTTTTTAAAAATCTTCCTTGACTTTCACCTTCTCTTTTGGGGAAATGAAAAATGAAAATGATTTGTGGAAATGAAAAATGAAAAAAAGCCTTAACTTAAAAAAATTATTTTAGTTGTAGACAGACACAGTGTTTTTAAATATTTATTTTTTAGTTGTAGTTGGACACAGTACCTTTATTTTATTCATATATTTTTATGTGGTGCTGAGGATAGAACCCAGGGTCTTGCATGTGTAAGGTGAATGCTCTACCGCTGAGCCACAACCCCAACCCCAACAATTTATTTATGTATTTATTTTTATGTGGTGCTGAGGATTGAACCCAGTGCCTCAAAAATGCGAGACAAGCGCTCTCCCATTGAGCTATGACCCCAGCCCATGCCTTAACTTTTTAAAGCTCATGAAGAAGTTATTCTTTTTTGTTAAATTTATGTACGTATTATTTTCAGGAATTAAACCTGGGGCACTTAACAAACTGAGCTATAACCTCAACCCTTTTAAAACTTTTTATTTTGAGAAAGGGTTTCTCTAAGTTGCTAGGGACTCTCTAAGTTGCTAAAGCTGGCCTCAAACCTGCAATCCTGCTTCAGCCTCCTGAACCACTGTGATTACAGAAATGTACCACCATGCCCAGCTTGGGAGGCTGAATTAATAATAGTTGATAGATGTTCCTTTTCAATCTTCTCAATGCAGTTCTTTTTTTTCAATTTTTTTAATTCATTTTTTAAAAACAATTTTAGGTGAAGTTGGACACAATACCTTTATTTTATTTATTTTTATGTGGTACCGAAGATGAAACCCAGCACCTCGCACGTGCTAGGCAAGTGCCCTACCATTGAGCCACAGCCCCAACCTGAGGAGCTATTCATTTTTCATTCAAGTTTGCAAAAAATGGTGTTGATGAAGATTGGGAAGTTATATAAATATTTTAAAAATGCTTGGCTTTGTTCTAGTGAAATAATACTGCCTGCTAGATTGATTAGACATGGAAGCTTTATAGGGAAGTTGAAATTACAAATATTTGAATGTAAAGGAATGAGCCATATGTGTCTCAGGGATAACTGTATTTGTGGCCACTCTGTTTTGGCAGTGGTTAAGTTGAAGCAGAAAATTAAACTCGAAACTGTGGTTTAGAACTTGAACCTGCACTTGCTACTTTAAAGTCACACACAGTTTTGCTATTGCTTTGATTGGTGCAGCTCTTTCTTCAGAACTGTATTTGACCTAAAGAAACCAACTAAAAGTTCATCCCCCTCCATAATTTCCATATTTCAACTATTAAATACTCTGAGCAAAACTACCAGTGTGACCAATTATTGACTTGTGATATGCAGGTATCTTTTCAATCTTCCTGTTATTTTTTTAATCCTCATGACAACCATATGAGATAGGTACTATTATTTTTCAGTGAAAAAGACTGCAAAATTTCATATCTAATAGTGGTTGGGGCAATTATTTGAACCTAGATCTGGCTGATTCTTACCACTATGTCATGTACAAATATCCACATGGCTATAACACGTAATAGCATGATCTCAGGTGTTTTGCATATATTCATGCATTCTTTTTATCAATCCTACTGTGTGGATACTATTATTGTGCCTATTTACAAATCCTAGTTTGGGAGTGATAGAACTTGGATAATTCACATAGTTCTAAATTTTTGAGCAGAAAAATATTTGAATAGGGTATCAGTTCAGAGACACAACAACTTTTGATAATGAGAGCATAAAATTTAATAGGATTTGGATGGGCTTATTTCTTTCCATTAGGATTTATTGAATTTTTGGCCAACTTAAAATGAAAAATCTGAGTTTGTATACCTTAATCCATACAAATAATGAATCTAGAATTCATGGATATTTAGTCCCCCCTTTTTTTTTTGCCTAAGAACATATTATTTATAAGGGCATTTTGAAGTTTTTAGCGTACTTAATATTATCAACCTCACTTGATTCATAGTAGTCTTGGAAAGGCAGCAAGCAAGTGTTCCCTGAGATGCGGGGAGGATCTAGTGATTATTTTAAGATCTCCTGGCTTGGGAAGAAGAACGGGAGCTTGAGTTCAGGCTCTTGACACTCTTGCTTTCCTTGTCTGCTGCATATGTTTTGGGTGTCACTCTTGTGTGATGGTCAAGGAAAAGGTTCAAATGCACAGGACAAAACCAAAGGAATTGTCAAAACTAAAAAGCACAAGTGATGTCTGACTCTGGATCTAATTGCATTTTATCTTTAGAAAGGAAAAATTCAGTATGCTGCATGAGTTGGTTGTACAATGGTGTTAAAGTTAATAACCACATGGACAAATGTTTCACGGATTTTTGTTGGTATACATGCAATCGATTCGTCTTCTCTGCCTCTCCCCACTATGGTATATTCTGCTCCTTAATCTCTGTCCAAGGGCTCCCTTGGGTTTGGGTTCAGGGATTTGTTGGATCATAGGCTTGACATGGATGTGTTTTCATTTGGAAAGTAAGCAGATCCTGGGAAAAAATGTTAATTGGCACACATGAATGATAGTTTTTCTTTTATGAGATAGTGAAGAGCGTACATTTTGAGAATTCTAGAAGCAATTATGCTAATTTTGCCTTCAAAGATTACTTTCTAGTATTGAGCTCCTTACTCAGTGTTAATTCATTGCAATTCAAACTCAATCAACATCAACAAAAATTAGAAATACACATGTACACACACGCATCCCATCACACAGATATGAGGAATGAGCTTAGTAATTTGAAGTCATCTTGCCTTGGGGTTAAGTGTGACTTACTCTCAGGACTGTTGTGTTCTGATGAGAGGTGGAGTCCTTAGCTAGGACAGCAGAGGCTGGTCCCTGCTCAGCAGTAGGGAGGCTTAGTTGCCCTTTCAAGAAGCCGCATAGCTCCTCTCCAGTTTTGGTTTACATTGTGAAAAATCACTTAACTTTCTTTAAGAAAAAAGATGAGTCCTTTTCTGGCTTCTGATTACAACAATAGGTAAAATCTTGTTCCACTTTCATGATGCACATAAAGAATTTGCTATCACCCTGCTGATTGTCATTTTCTGAATAACATTCTTGTTGTTTGGGAATGTTTCCTCCTGAGCAGTCTTTTGTCACCTTCACAGAACAGAAGCACTTGGGATTTTTCTTTAATGGGACCATTTCTAGTAATAGAAATCAGGCTGCTGCTGAAGTCCAGATGTGGCTGCAGTCCAGATGTGGCTGCAGGCAGCTCCTCCCCTGCTTCCTGATACCTGCAGACGTCAAATCAGTGGAAGAATTATAAAATGTCTTGCAAGTTTAAGGTGGTATGTGTTTTTAAATCAAAGAGAATTACATCTGGCCAAAGATAGTTCCAGGTGATCTGAATGGCATTCAAGCAGTTTCAAAATGTTAAGGTTCAGGATAGACACTGTCAAAGGAATTCGGAGCTTAGAGATGTGTCAGGGA